CTGCGGTGGGATGAGGAAAGTACTCCCCCATTTTTATTTTCTTGTTTTGAAGCCTGTACCTCTTTGAAGCACATTCTCCTCAATTTTCAGCACATCGACGAGGTCAGAGAAAATTTGGTCGGACAGAAGCTAGGTCGGACAGCACTTTTAGGGATTTTGTAAAAGTCACCAGGTCGGAGGGTTTGCGTCACGTGAAATGCCATATAAACAAGTTCGGACGAGAAAACTTGTGTTGCTTTCCCTCTCAATTTTCATAGTCAAGTTTCAATGCCGAATCTCGTTGGTTGGTGAGGTCCATCATCCTATCCCCCTCTGACGACTGCCGCCAGAGTGAGCCTCTCGCGCACCCCCCACCCCGCCTTCCCTCTCCACTGCCCAGCCGCCGGGCCGAAGCGGAGCGCGGAGCGTCAGATCGGGAACAGCTGAGCTGAGCTACTCGTCGGTCCAGCTCCCGGCCCAGCTGGTCGCCCTCTCAACCTCGTGCTTCGCGATTCGTCGGCCGTGCAACTCGTCATGCTGCCTGTCCGTCTTCAGGTTGGACCAAACGCGCCGCGCTCCCCGTCCCCAACCACTCTGTCTGGCTCTTGGTCCTCGCCCCGCCGCCGTGTCCGGCCCGCGTGCCGTGCCGCCGCTGCGCGCTCACCCGGCTGTCGTCGCCGAGCTGGAGTTCGAGCTGTTCGAGCCCGTCACCCGCGCCATCCGTGTCACCCGCGTCACCCGCGTACGGGCCTGTGCGTCGTCGCTGCAGCACCCCCTTCCTCCCCTCCCATCCCGCCGGGCCCGCCGCCGGGCCTGGCCCATTCGACGAAATGCTGGAAGAGAAGTGCAGTGTCAAGTGCATCGTGGCCAAATAAGTGTAGCGATGAAAGTCGACTGCAGTGTGTGCATGTGCATGTGGGCCGTGTGGTGTAGTGTTCGAGTGTCCTCAAGCTCCTTTTTGCCTCCGTTCCACTCGCCGTCGCTGCTGCTGCGCGCCGGACCGGGGCTGGTGGTCGACTCATGGTAGGGTAGACGACCGTACTTTGTTTTGCTCAGATAGGAACATTACAGTATATTTTGACTTGAGAGCGCAACGGTGGACTCTTGCGCTCATCTGCTGATCTGGTTAGCACGGTCAGAGGCAAGGGGGGGGGGGGGGAGAGAGATCTGGTGGATAGGACGATTAAAATGGCACTCTCTGCGTTCTTCACAATGATTCGACGTGTCCCTCGAGCAAAGGCGGATCTGCGCGCGAC